GCTCCCTCGGCCGCCGACAGGGCTGTGGTCAGCATGGCCCGCGTGCAGGTCTTAGCTGGGGGCACGTGGGGCTTACCTGGCGGCGAGTAGGCCAGGTGGCCCCCGGGGCTCACGCTCCTCCGCTGCTCCCAGCCAGGACTCCACAGCAGCGTCTCTCCGTCAGGCAAGCAGGAAGGAGGGAGAAGCAGCCTGGCCCGCATGTCTGCCCAGCCCCAGGGAGACCCTCTGCCTGCATCGGGCACCATGGCTTGGGGACAGGCTGGCACCATGGGCTTGGGGGTGCCAAGGCTCGGGGCCAGGCTGGCACTGTGGGTGCTGGGGCGTGAGGATGGCGGGTTCAAGGGCAGGTCCTCCAGAGTGTCCGCTGCATCGGCCCCAAGCAGATTGGCAGTCAGGAGGTCGATGCGCTGCTTCAGGACGTTGGCCATGGTCTCCAGGGCCTGCAACCGGGCATGCTTGTACCGGAAGTGCAGGGGGCCCCGCGTGCCCAGGCGCTCGGCCTCCTCAGGGCCCAGGTAGATGCACAGCCCCGGGTGTGGGGGGTGGGCAGTTAGGTCCTGGAGTTTTCGGGGACCTGCGGGGGAGCCAGCGGATGTCGGCAGGGGAGCACCCGCCCAGCCTTCCTGGGGGCCTCCTGTCTCCAGAAGCTCATGGTTCAAGGCTCTGTCCAGACACAGGCAGAAGCTGTGGGGACAGAGGGTGCGAGGGTCAGGGAGGCCCAGCACGGCCTTCTTCTGCTGCCTGTACACGTCCAGTGGTGAGTGTGAAACATGTGTGTGAAACACGTGTGTGCAGGCGCTGAATGTGGCGGTGCTTCTGGGGCAGACCCAGGGGGTGCTCACGAGGCCCATGTTTGCTGGGGGCTGGTATGGAGCAGCCACATGCCCGCCCGCCACCGTTAGAGCGAGGACAGCCAGCGGCGGTTTCTTAGATGTGCCGCCAAAAACACAGACGAGAGACAGATAAATTGGCTGCTTCGAAGCGAAAAGCCTCCACGCATCAAAGGACACAACCAACAGAGAGACAGAAGGCAGGGAGGGCACGAGCGGGAACTTAGAGGCCATGTCGCCACAGGGTTGGGACCAGACGGCAGAAAGAGCTCCTGCAGCTCAACCAGAAACCCAAACAGCTCCACCAAAACGCAGGCCAAGGACAGAGCGGTCCCTCCTCTGAAGACAGAAGCGACCGACGAGCACATGAGAGGATGCTCAGTGCCCAGGTCACCGGGAAATGCAAAGGAAAGCACCTGAGGTCCCACCTCACCCCCAGGACGGCTGCTGTGAACAAAACAGGAAAAGCAGCCGCGAGGACGTGGAGACGGGGACCCTGGGTGCTGCTGGCGGACGTACCGGGCGGAACAGATGGGCGCGGCCGCTGTGGATAACGTGGCAGTTCCTCAGAAGGCCAGTGTGGGCGACCCGGTGGCCCAGCAGCCCCACTCTGGGTCCACACACAGGCCTGAGAGCCGGGTCCGAGACGCACACCATGTTCCCAGTCCAGTTCCCACAGCAGCCAGAGGTGGAGACACCCCAGTGTCCACTGATGGGAAACCAAACCTGGTCCACCTCCCAGTGGAACACTATGAAGCCTTGAAAAGGCAGGCAGTCCTGACCGTGATATGGCAGGGGCAGACCTAGAAAATGTGCTCTTTGAAAGAATCCTGAACAGAGGCCCATGTCCAGAACATGTGAATGCGCAGGAGGGAGAGATGGGGTGCAGGGGAGGGTGGGCTGATGGGGTGGGGTTTCTCCTGGGTGATGGAAGGGTTTGGAAGTAACAGGTTCTAGTTGCACAGTGAAAGCGCTAAATGCACTGGTGTGGTATGAGCTCACCTCAGTGAAATGGCCAGGCTGTGTGGCCTGGGGCCCAGGAAGTGCAGCCCTCCACCTGATACCCACCTGCCCGGGGCCTCCTGGTCCCCCAGCACCATGCCAGAGGTCACCTTGCTCCACCGCAGTGCGGGCGACCCCACGCTCCCAGGCTCGTCCTGGCCCTGGAACAGAGACGGATGCAGTCAGAGTCTCACCCAGACCCTGACACCCTGGCTCGGCTCAGAGCTGGCCCTGGCCCCCAGGGGTCTCAGGCTGGACCCCTCGGTCTACCCTCTTTAGGGGCTGGGACAGAGTCAATGGGATCCCTCCAGAGCCTGGTCAGACCGAGGGGGCAGACAGGCCCCGGGGCCCTGGGGGTGGAGGCCGTGGCTGAGCTGGTCCACGCCCCCTCTGCACCCCGGTGCCTACCCTGGACGGTGCTGAGTGTGGGACGAAGGTCACGATGCTGGGGGTCGTCTGGGAGACCAGGGGGAAGGCCTTGGTGGGGCCGGCCCTGCCGCGCACGGCCTCTCTCTGCTGCCTGTACACACCCTGCAGCCGCTGGCTCTGCAGCTCCCGTGCCTGCACGGCCGAGGCCTTCTCCTCCAGGACCTGCTGCTGGCGCGCTAGGGCCTTTTGGCGCATGAACTCCCGCAAGGACGCGGGGCTGTATGGGTGGCCCAGGAACCCCCGGGGCTTTGGGCAGGGTGGCGGCAGCCGAGCCTCATTCTCCTGCCCAGGTGCCAGCTGAGAGATGCTCTGGGTGGGCCTGGGCCAGGGGTGGGCTCTGCACTGGACTGGGGCGCCAGCCTTTTTCACGAAGGAGGCGCTCCAGGGCCGCTGGGTGGTAGGGCTTGGCCTTTCCAGAAGGCTCCAGCGTCCTCGGGGGGAGGCCTCCCAGTCTTTGCAGGGGGCTCCAGCCCTCTGCCCGGCTGAGGCACTCCAGGGCCTCTCAGGGGGGCTCCCAGGCCTCTGGAAGGTGGGGTTCCGTCCTTGGGGGGACCAGGTCCTCTGTGGACAGGACTCCCACCTGGCCGAGGCACCCCAGCGCTGCCCAGCGGAGAGGCTCCCGGCCCACTCTGAGGAGGAGTGGTGCACCCCCTTGGCCGGGCTCTGAGAACTCTTGCCGAGGGAGACCCGCACATCCGGGGCACTCCAGTGGCCCTTGGGTCTCCTCCCTGCCAGCTGCTGGCGCTCCTGCCCTCCCCTGTGGTGATGGTCCTGGGCCAGATCCAGCCCCGCCTGAATTTGTTGGCGGAGGTCCTGCAGGATGGCCATGGCAGAGTGGATGCTCCCGGCCTCGTCACAGGACGCCAGGTTGGGCATGTGGGTAGGCACCCATGGGTCACTGCGGATGGTGCCTGGGCGGGGTGTCCGGGGGCCAACAGGGGAGCTCTCAGCAGCTCTGTCCTCCATGTCTCCTGCAAAGACAGGCAGTCACTAGGGGCGGACCCACAGAGCTTAGAGGCACCCCACCCCTGCCCCGGGGAGCCTCCTGTCTCTGTGCTCATCCCTAACTCACATTAGACCCGAGGGGCAGATGCTGTGAGGCTGTGCCTGGCACCTGGTGAACACTGAGCACACATTGGGGGACGGGTGTCTGGGAGGACCCCATTGGCACTCGCCCTGCTCCCCTAAGTCGGGAAAGCCGAGACAGCCATGCCCAGCCTTCCGGAGCCAAATGGGTGCCCTTCAGGGACAGAAACCCTGACCTCCAGCTTCTAAATGGAATGGTTTTCCAAAGTCCCCTTCTGGTGGCGAGTTCGCAGGGCACTGACACGTCACTGGGAGGGCGCTGCTCAGGCACCGATGCCACCTCCTTCCCGGCGGCATGGTGCCCATGCCCACCCATCTTCGGCAGTAGAGCAGGGGGAGCCCGCGTGCGCACACATGCAGGCGGAGGCACAAGGTACCTAATTCGGCGGTGGGGGCCGGCGCTCCCGAGGGGGCCTTGCTCTGGAGCCTGGGGAGGGCGGGAGGGGGCCCGAGCAGCCCTCTCACCAGGGCTTGTCCTTTCCTCCAGGCGTAAACACCAACCAACTCAGAATCTTAAACAGAGAAAACACACACAGAGGCTCCGAATGCTGGCCCCAGTGGGATGGAAGGGAAGGGGCTGTTTCAACTCTTGAGGCCTGGATTGGGGAAGGGGAGGGACACTGGTCCTGGGAGGAGCAAAACGGAGCAAGTGTGTATGTGCCTGTGTGCAGGGGAGGTGGGATAGGACCCTGGCCTCCTGGCTCAGTCCCACCTTCCTCTGCTGGCTCTCTCCCCTTACCTGCCCTGATACAGGCCCACTGACACCTGGGGAAGGGGCTGTTTCAACTCTTGAGGCCTGGATTGGGGAAGGGGAGGGACACTGGTCCTGGGAGGAGCAAAACGGAGCAAGTGTGTATGTGCCTGTGTGCAGGGGAGGTGGGATAGGACCCTGGCCTCCTGGCTCAGTCCCACCTTCCTCTGCTGGCTCTCTCCCCTTACCTGCCCTGATACAGGCCCACTGACACCTGGAGCCACACATGCCAGCCCTCCCTCTGGGGGCCTTGATGGCACTCAAGTGCCCCCCTCAGGACCTTGCTTGGCATCTGGTCTCCCCACCACAGAGGAGGGACCAGGTGAAGACAGAGGATGGGCTAGGTAAGGAAGGAGGAGGGGCCCTGTGAGGATGGGGGAGGGAACCACATGAACACGGGAGTGTGGACCTGGGGTGTGGTCATGTGGCCATGGGTGTGATCGTATGATCATGGGTTGCAGTTGTGGGTGAAAAAAGGCCACATGCTAACCTGACCAGCTCAGGGAAGGCTGGTATGACGGTTTTGCAAACTCTAAGACCTAAAGTAACCAAAAGGATGGTCTGAAATTAAACTTTTTAAGCAGCCTTAGCCGGTTTGACTCGGTGGATAGAGCTTGCAGACTGAAGGGTCCCGGGTTCGATTCTGGTCAAGGGCACATGCCTGGGTTGCGGGCTTGATCCCCAGTGGGGAGCTTACAGGAGGCAGCCAATCAGTGATTCTCTCTCCTCATTGATGTTTCTCTCTCCCTCTCCCTTCCTTTCTGAAACCAATAAAAAAACATAAAAAAATAATAAAAAGCAGTCTATGGTGGGTAGTTCCCAACTGAACCTATTGTCTCTCTGCACCTGAGATAACATGCCTGTGAAATGTCAGGTAACTTGTAACTTCCCCTTCTCTGAACCACTCAGGGCACAACCAATGGTCCAGGGCCCAGGGCCAAGACCTTAAATTCCCTCATTGTTCTTGTTATCATGTTAATTGTTGGCTGTTAACTATCCTGCACCCACCTAAGTAAATGAAGCATGTGTCTATCATTTTACTTTTTATCCAATCCCAGAGGTTTCCCCTCTTTGCTTTCTCCCACCTCCCTAATCTACCAGCAATGGATTTCACGTGACCCACTTATGTCTCCTCCTTTGATGGTAATTTATAAAACAAGGTGAAAAACTACCATTCTCTGTAGCATTATCCCAATACTAGAGGCCCGATGCACAAAATTCGTGCAAGGGTAAGCCTTCGCAGCCTCGGCTGCCAGTGCCCTTGTGGCCCCACCCCCACCCCCACCCGCCTTGGCTTGGTGCTGCCCACGCCTGCTGCCACATACCCCTAGTTCCCCAGTTCTGTGGAGTCCCCCCCACCCGCATCCATTGCCCTGCAGTGGGTGGTCTGGGCCTCCCTCTGTGGGGCGATCGTGGAGCCCTCCCCCAATCGATCGCCCTCCCCGGCCAGTAGGTATCCTAGGCCTTTCTGCGGGGCAATCTCAGAGCCCCCGATTGATCACCCCGCTGGCTGGTGGCCTGGACCTCCCTCTGCAGGGCAATTGTGGGGTGATGGCAGGCCCCTGACCAATTGCATTGCACCCACCTTGGCTGGCCTGGCGCCAATGCATGTCATAGCATGGTCGTCAGGATGGTCGTTCTGCTATTTGGCCATTCAGTCAATTTGCATATTATGCTTTTATTATTATAGATATTGAGATCCTGCTTCCCAGCAATTGTTGAGAGTTTGGCTAAAATAAACTCACAAAAATTCGTTACAGCTTAGAATGTTTTTTACGTTAACACGGTCACATGAACATGAGGTGTGGCTGTGCCAGCAGGAGGGAGTGGTCATGTGAATGGGGGCATAGCCACCTGAAGAAGGGGAGTGGCCATGTGAACAGAGGGGGTCTCGTGATCACATGCAGCGGGGCCACATGAACACGTGAGAGTAGGTGTGTGCACAGGGGTGGGGTCTCGTGATCAACCGGAAGTGGGCACGTGAATGAGGGGGCGGGTCCACGTGAAGATTGAAAGGATATGGCCAGGAGCCCCCAGAAGCTGAAGAGGAAGGACCCTCCCCTGGAGCCCTCGGAGGGAACACAGCCCCAGACGCCCTGATTTCAGATTCTGGCCCCAGAACGGGAAGAGCACATGTTCTTCCTACGGCTCTGTCTTTAAACCTCAACACAGGCCCAGAAGTGCACGCAGCACAGCAAGTGCCAACCGATAATCATAACAACGGTGATGCTAACAAACCACAGCCCACACAGGGCAGGCGGGAGGGTAATGTCACAGCTGGTCACTGGTACTGAGCTGAAGGCAATTAATCTCTTTTTAAGCTGGTGACACTCAGAGACAACAGGGGTGGGGGGACCCCTGAAGATACCCAGGATGGCAGGATGAGGGACCAAGAGTGTGTCCCACATGCAGACATGCTTGTCACATAATAAACATCATTTATCAAGGTTTTACTTCATAATCCAGGTTACACACACCAAATGCCAATATCATCCCCACCGTCATTACAAACCCATCCACCAGGGCCCTGGCAGAGGCAGGAGCAGCAGCCTGCCTTTAACTTGCACACACAGGCACATACACAAATGCATGTACACACAACAGACACATTCACACAGACACATACTTACGCACACACAGAGTCACCCTTGCATGTACACATGCACACAGAGATGCACACAGACACACATGCACAGACACACATGCACACACAGAGATGCATGCAGACACACATGCACAGATACACATGCACACAGAGATGCACACACAGAGATGCCACAACAGACACATTCACACAGACACATACTTACGCACACACAGAGTCACCCTTGCATGTAGACATGCACACAGAGATGCACACAGACACACATGCACAGATACACATGCACACAGAGATGCACAAACACACGTGCACACAGAGATGCACACACACACAGGCACACAGATACACACACAGGCACACAGAGATACACACACAGGCACACAGAGATGTACGCAGACACACGCACAGACAGAGATGCACATAGACACACACATGCACACACAGAGACACCCTTGTATGTACACAGAGATGCACACACACACACAGATGCATGCACAAACATGCACACACAGATATGCACACAGACACTAAAGGCACTCACTGCCCCTCCCCTGGCAGCAAATGAAGGGGAAACAAGACCGCCCAGCTAGAAGTTGTCCTGTCCCCCATGAAAGGGCTTCCTGCCAACCAGGGAGCCTCACAGAAGAGACCATCCAGAGATCAGCCTGCCTGGGGGCAGGTGGCCAGGCAGGGTCAGGCCTTGCCAGCAGACATGCCCCAGTTGGGGCACCTCCCAGAGCCCAGGCCAGAGACATCAGCGCAGGCCTAAAGCTGGGCTTCAAGGAGAGGAAGGCCACACAGAACCTTGCTCTCCAGAGGCTATGCCCCCTGGAAGTCCCCTAAGGCCACATCCAGGCCACACCTCTCTGGAACAAGTCCCTGCCTCCAAGTCACACCTTTTGTAAGGCCATGTCCCTCTAGAAACATGTCCCCTGGGGGTCGGGTCCTGCATAAGCTACGCCCCAATAGGACAGGACTGGAGGCCACTCCCCTCCAGGACACATTGCCACCCCTGCCCTACCCCCAGCCCACTGTGCCTTCCAGCCCCAGGCCCTGGGGACACCTGAGGTAAAGAGCTTGGTCTCAGGAGTCCTAGATCTGGGTTTATATTCCAGCTCTGCCCATCACTAGCTATGGGCCTTGAGCCATTGACTTAAATGCTCCCTGCCTCAGTTTCCCCCTCTAAACACCTTCCCACAGAGTCGCAAGGATGGAAAAGCAGCCACAACCTCTACAGGAGCTGAGCCCAGAGGGTCAGGATTCAGCTGGCTCAGGGCAGAAGCCAAAGGCTGGAACTGCCCCCCCCCACCTCTGGATTTCAAGGGGGCCCAGGAGTGGGGCTTCCCAGGGAGACCACTCTGTCCGGTGGGAAGGGGCTGTTTCTGGCCAGGCGGCTTGGCACCCCGCTCACTGATCCCTCCTTTGTGGGGCGCTCAGTGTCCCCATTAGCCCACCAGAGGGGAGGGTCCGGGTCAATAAATGAGTCCTGACGGGCACATTTTTCCTTCTGCTGAGCAGTTTAATGGCAATTAATTTTTTTACGAGCGGGTTTTTAATCTGCAGAAATGGATGAAGTCCCCAGTGCCCTGTCAGAGCCCCAGGGCCGACCTCATCTATGATAAAAAATGCAAAGTGAGGTGATATCATCTGAAATTAAATATGGGGCTTCATTTTCCTCTGGGCGGATGGATGAATATTTTATAACTATTGTGATTTAATTTTTTGTTAACGACAGCAAATTTCTAAATCATCCGATTCCCAAGTCCCGTGACTCCGACCTCTGACCCCATCCCCATCCCTCCTTAGCCCAGCTGTGCCTTCCCCGTTGACAGGAACTGATGGTCAGTGCGTCCGGGAGACACGCATGACGATGATGGATGCGGCCCGAGGTGCGCCCTCTGACCCAGTGTCGGGCAGAAAGCCGGTCATTTTTCAAGCGAGCCATGAAAACAAACAAACCAAAGAGCCGAGCGTGGGGAGAGGACAGTGCAGAGAACGCTTACGCTTTTTGTATTTTCAGTGTGGCTTCTGGAACCTTCTCCAGGTCTCCAAGCACCCCTCACTGTCAGCAGGTGTGGGGGTTTGCCTCCGCCCCCCCAGCACTGGGGCCAGCCTCAGTGTCCCCACCTCACTTAGGACCACCCCCACCCAGGACTTTCATCTCATGCCATGGGGGAAACTGAGGCACGGGGATGTGCAGGGGCAGCTCAGAGCTGTCTATCTTAGGCTAAGAGTCCTGCTGAGCTGGCCTCAGTCCGGGGGCCCCACCTGGTCAAGGAGCTGCAGGTGGGGATGCTCCCACCACCAAGACCACTTAGCAGACCTCTCAGCTGTCACACAAATGCGTCACCAACGTCTCCCCTGGTGACGGCTCTACGTCCCCCAAGGGGGGGCAAGATGGTGGATGCTGCCCCCGGTCACTCCCCCTGTCCGTGCCCAGGTGAGCTTGCTCCCTGGAATTCCAAATCCCACACCAGGCCCATCGGGAGCCCATTCCCTCCACCAGTCTTCCCAATGCCAAAGGCGGTGGAACCTATAACTCGTCACATGGCACTGTGCAACAGGAAAGCAGCCACACTGTCAACCACATGTGTCATAGGCCTGCCATGCACCATGCTTGTCCATGCGTGTCAGTGTGCTTGAGGAGCAGATTGGGAATGCGTGTGGCCGAGGGTCTTTGGGACTGCACATGGGGGTTTGCGGACTTTCACTTGCATGTCACAAGGGACAGCCCCTGCACCAGTGGGCCCCACTGCTACTGGGGGATGGTCAGGCTCTGCAGGCGCCTGAGGTGCAGACACCAGTGCTGCCTCCTCCATTCACAGCAGACCCACCCCCCAATCAAGCCTGGCCCCTGTCGACCCCAGATGCCCGCCCCAAAACACATGCACACAGAGAGCAGAGTGGTGCATTGGAAGCGTGCTGGGCCCAAAACACATGCACACAGTGCTCGGTGGCCACTGGGACCAGCCACCCCTCACGCCCCCTCCAGCCTTACCCTGGTCTTTGGCAGCTCTTCTGGTGGATGACCTGGGGGCCTTCTCTCTTTTGCAAGAACTACTCTTCATGCTTTTGTGTTTCTCCCGTAGAACTTCAGTGTGAGGAGAGAGGGGGAGGGGAGAGAAGATGAGCAGTAACACATACACAGGGGTTCCGACCAGGTTCCAGGGGACAATGTGGGGGCCACCCTGCTCCCTGGTCCTGCATGCTAGTGCAGGCAGCCGGGCACAGGGCTCAAGGGGCACACGTGGCTGCCCACCCCTCTCTGCGTTCTGTGTGGAGCACCCCTGGGGAGCCCTCCTGCCGGCAGGCTCCCCACTCCTTCCTGACTGTGCACAGATTCCCACTCGGTCTCCTGCACCCAACTCGGAGCTGGCCATGGCACTCATGTTTGTTGAATGAATAAATAACTGACTGGCCTACGGGTGAACCCAGGGCATGGCAGCTGGCCACACTGGGAGACCAGGAGTGAGAGCTGGAGTCGGAGGGGCCTTCCCACGGCCCAGTCCATCCCTGGCTGGACAGTCAGGGGGATGTGGAGACCCCGAGGGGGTAGAGACTGAATCCCACAGGGGCAGACCGGAGGGGAAGCCAACAGGCCAGTTAGCTCAAGGGAATAGGCCAAGCCCACCATGTCTACATGGCTGGGCCCATGGGGAAAGACTGGCCTCTGGTGCGGCCAGTCCAGCCTTGGCCCTCAGTGCCCGATGCTGCTGCCAGGAGGGACCTCAAGACCCAGGCCCTGCCCACAGCCTGCTTCTGGGGGCTCTAAAACGGCAGCTGAAATGTGACTGCCAGGAGCTGGCGACCAGTGACAGTGGGCGCTGAGGTCCTCAAGTCCCAAATTTCACTGCTGCCCCAGGGCCTCCGTGGGGGTGGATGAGCTGAGGCCATCGGGCCCACAAGCAGGAGGAGGAGGACAGCCGTTCTGTGTGGAGTGGCTGGTGCCCTTGGTTAGGCCAGAGCTGGGTTAGGGACAGGTTCTGCCCCTTGGTGCATGGGGGCCGGGCCCGCACCTGGCTCCCCTTCTGTCTGGGGTGAGACACCCCCAAAAACATGCCTGTGGCTGCCACTCACTGGGGTCTGGATGCGAGTGTTGACCAACCTTTGCCCAACCCTGGCCACCAGGGCACCACTGGGACAGGCTATGACTGCCCCCCTGGGGTCCTGACTCACCTTCTCCTGCCCACAGCCCCCCCAAAACCCTCAGTGCTCCCCAGGGCCAGGACAGCCAGACCTCTGCTCCCAGCCCTTCCCCCTCTCTCTCTACCTCCATCACCAACATCTTGCAGCCTCTCTGGACTGTGGAGACAGCGCCCCCCCCCCCCTCCGTGGAGCCTGTCAAAGCCCACGCCAGCCCTGGCTCCTACCCTCGGCCCCCAGGAGCGGCTCCCATCTGCCTTCCATCCTTACTCCTTGATCTGTTGGGTGAATGAGTGAGCCAAACCCTCGTGGTTCCCTTGGTCCCTGGGCCTTTGGCACCCTGTCTGGAAATCTGCCGACCCACAGCCAGTACCTGGGCACCTGCCGAGCAAGGCTGGGCCATGGCCTGGCTGGGCCACCTGTGGGTGAGCAGCGAGCCCAGGAGCCGGCAGGACCTGGAGGACCCCTGTGGCTGGCACGTGGCCATGCAGGAGAGGCCTCACTTATTCTGTGCAGGAGTTCGGCACGGAGACACGCCCCACCAGCTCCCTGCCCTGGGCCGAGGTGCCAGGATGGTCGGCCACAGAGCCACTCACCGGAGGCCTGGCGCTGGGAGACCCTGGAGGGCGCATGCTCCTGGCCGGGGACGGGCTTGTCCTGAGCGGCACGCCCAGCTGCACTCGGGCTGCCAAAGCCTGGAGCAGAGTGTAAAGGAGAGGTTGTCACGAGACCTCGAGGAAGAGTCCCCGTTTGGCACCCGCTCGACAGCCTCTCAGCGCCGCGCCCTGGACTCAGACCCCAGGCCCAGGTGCGTCCATGGGCCCGACCTCGCTCATGGTGCTGAGCTCGAGGCCACATGACTGTCCAGCCCGAGCAGCACCACGGTGGCCGGCCTGGGGCCGACAGGGCCCCGTGTGCCTCATCTGGGGCCTCGTGCGGCTGGCACCAGGCAGCATGGGAAAGGACCGTCCCTTGTGCACGCAAAGTCCCCTTTTGCAAAGTGAAGAGTGGCTTTGAGGGACGTGCCCCAAAGCGTTAACCAGGGCAGTGGCGGGGGCGGGGGGGCGGGGACACAGGGAGTGTAAGCTGCTCTCGTTCCACTGTCTGCGCTTTGCAGCGGATGGGAAGTCCGGGAGAGAACGGTACACGCACAGCAGTGTGACCGTCCCTGATGCCGCTGAGCCGTGCGCGTGGACGTGGTGTGATGGTCAGTGCTGAGTGTATTTTATACTTTCTTTAAACAAAGTATCATCTTAGAAGAAAGCATCCTCCCTGCCTCCTGGGAAGAGCTACGCACCGGCTCAGTGGGCAGAGCCGCAGGGCTGCGTGCGTGGCAGCCGTCTCTCCGACAGGGAAGCTGCGTGTGGGTGTTTCTCTAGATCCCCAGCCTCGCCCTTGCCTCCCCCCACCCCATCCCCCACGCTGCCGGGCAGGGGCACACCGTGCCTCTGGGCACCTTCAACCCCGGCTGCAAGATTTTCCAGGTGTTCCTGACCGGATTCCCCAAAGACCTGACCCTGACTCTGCCTCCCGCACCCCAGCGCCCCTTCCACAAGCCTCCAGCGGGGCCAGTCCCTCCCACACACCCGCCCCGCTCCGCTGCCAACAGCCTGGCCTTCCCTGCGCTGAAGCCCAGCTCGAGGACCCTCCCAGAGGCTGTCCTCCCACTCAGCTCCCAGGCTGAGCCCCTCGCGGGACCTCAGGCAGTGACATCCAGTGGGTACACCCAGGCTCCCAGCACGGCCCTCCCACCCTCACCAGGAAGCTGCTCCTGACCTGGGGAGGCCGGGGCTGGAGGGGCCTTCTTCAGCTTTCTGACCTTCCTCCGGGGGGCTGGCGGGGAGGCTCTGAGGAGGTGCGAGGTGCTGGAGGGCATCGAGGTGCCCAGGGAAGCGCAGCTGGCCTGCCAGCACGCCTGGGCCCGGATCTTCTCCCTCAGCTGCTCCAGCCGGGGGTTGCTTTCTCCGTCCTGCTGTGGGGACCCCAGCACCAGGGGAGGCCTCTCCTTCCAGGGCCTGTGGGCAGGTGCGCACGACTTGTGGCCCCCCGAAGAGCCGGACAGGCGGCCTGATGACACCGAGCTGTCCCCATCCTGGGCCTCCTCGCCGGCTGTCCAAGCAGGGCAGCTGAAGGCCTGCCCCAGGGGGCCCGGCCTCTCCATGTGGTCAGTCCAGGCCACGTAGGGCACCTCCCAAGGGGCTCCTGGCCGTGGAGAGGGCTTGGGCCACCTCAGGGCAGCCAGGAGGTCCTCCTCGGCCGTGGCTGGACGCCGCCTACCTGCCCTTGGGAGGAAGAAGCAGACGCAGCTGTTCAGGTGTGGACCCAGCAGAGCCTGCACAGTGCACCCCCTGCCCACGCTTCTGCTTCTCGCCATCCTCGGAGGTGCGGGCAGTGATGTGCCCCCCATGGCAGCCCCCAGACATTCTCTCTTGGATCCCGACCGCACTCCTCGTTAGGCGCTGTGATCAGCCCAGCCCGACCTGCAGGTGGGGAACTGAGGCTTGGGGAGAAGGCACTCAGCAGGGCACTCTGGCCCCAAGTTCCTCAGGGAAGGCGTCCCAGGTGCGCAGACACCTGCCTCAGTCACACAAACCCTACCTGGGCCTGGCGCGGGCCTTCCGGGCAGCTGGTCTCCCTGGAGCCCTGGGGCTGAAGGGGCAGTGCTCCTGGCTATCTCTGGGGTGCGTCTGAGCCATCTCCCCTAGGCAGGTTGCCGGGAGTGCAGGACCAGCAGCGAGGGCAGAGCCAGGAGCCCTGTCATCACCTGCCCTGGGCGCTTTCAGAGGGCAGCCTCAGGGTCTGCCGTCCGGCTTC